GCAGTCTGAAGGTGATGCCCATCCCTGGGTTTTTAGACACAGCTGAAGCAATCAGCCTATAGTACATTTCCCTGAATGTAATGGGCAAAAGCAGATTAGCCAAGTGCTCCTGCTCTGTTTGCATTGGCCAGTGTAGTGTAAAATTGTCTGAGATTTCAGCCTTTTGGTGGCCAAAACACTGCTGTGACGTGGCAAGATTGGGTTTGTTTACATGTAAATGACATGTGTGGAGTAGAAATACTCAGAAACCAGATTTAACAAAGTGTTTCTGTACCAGAAAGGGCAAATGACTATGATGATTCAAAATCATATCCTTTTGAGTTGAAGACATAAAGCCAATGCTTAATGACTTGATTATTAGGACCTAAGTGTGTCATCCACAAGGGTATTTCCTTAAAGCCTGTTTTCATCCATAAGAGTTGGGATACTTCTGTAAATGTGTGTGTGGATCCCATTTGAATGACATTTAGTCTCCCAAGTCACCTGTCATTTTTGAACCCTGCACTTCTAGTGACTCGTTAGCTGTGAAGGAGAAAATTATGCAACTATCTCAGTACCTAACAAAGAGGGTTGGGATTTAGGAGTCTGGTTCTCTTCCTGGCACTGTTGCTGACTTGTTATTTGACCTTGAGACGTTCCAGCTTTCAGCCCTGCAGGTGATGCTGGTTGCAGTGAGCTGTTGCAGAGCCCATCAGTGTTTCTGCAGAATAGCTGCTGGAGCACACGCTGCGTGTGCGCGCTGGCAAATTTGCAGTCATACTGCTGGAAAGCTGCGAGTGTGGAGCTGAGTTTAATTCCTGCTGTGGCAGCCCTGGCTTTGCTGGGAGTTTGGACCATATGTGACAGATATTTGTTCAACAGAGGGTTGTACAGTTTTCCATTCATTACCAGTGAGCGCTGTTGCAGGCTGTGTGATCCTTCATGTTGGAGATTGTAACTCTCTTTGAGTGAGCAAGTGTGTGTTAGCAGCCCAGAAAACCAACCATGTCCTGGACTGCATTACAAGAAGCATGGCCAGCAGGTCAAGGGAGGTGATTCCACCCCTTGATTCCGCTCTGGTGAGACCCTACCGGCAGTGCTGTGTCCAGTTCTGAAGACCCACACACAAGAAGGACATGGAGCTGTTGGAGTGAGTCCAGAGGAGGGCCATAAAGATGATCAGAAGGCAGGAGTCAGGCTGAAGGGATTGGGGTTGTTCAGCCTGTAGAAGAAACGGCTCCAGGGAGAGCTTAGATCACCTTCCAGTGCCTAAAGGGGCTACACAGGAAAGCTGGAGAAGGTCATCATACAAGGGCATGCAGCTACATGGCAAGGGGGAATGGCTTTAAACTGACAGAGGGTAGATTTAGATTAGATATTTGGAAGGCATTCTTTACTAGGATGGTGGTGAGGCACTGGCCCAGGTTGCCTAGAGAAGCTGTACCTGCTCCATCCCTGGGAAGTGTTCAAGAGCAGGTTGGATGGGGCTTGGAGCAACCTGGTCTGGTGGGAGATGTCCCTGCCCATACAGGGAGGTTGGAACTAGATCTCTAAGGTCTCTTCCAACCCAAACCATTCTATGGTTCTGTGTTCCATGTACTTCCTGTGGTGTGATTTTTCACTTTGCTGTGAGGAATCCTTCTACATCCTTGTGCATTGTTAATCCAGCTTACTTGCCTTGCTCCAGCAGTCAGAGGGTGTTTCCACTGCCCACTCAGGGCTTGTTAGCCTGTGACAGGCAATGGGCAATCTGCTGATGTAAATCCATGTGGTCAGTGGGGCAGCTCCTGGGAAGCATTGCCTGCCAGTAGGAGTAAAGGTTCACCAGGCACCAGGCTATAAGATGCTCCAACTGGTCAAAAACATTCTGACTCTTCATCTACATTTCAAAGACAATTAAAACTCACCTCGAGAAGTTGCTGCAAAGTAGTGGCTGGTGTTACCCTTATAGGTGGCTTTGAATGCTGGGAAATAGCAGTAAAGGGTTGGGTTTTGCCATCCATAATCATTTCAGGCATTTATTTTGCTTGACTGTGGAGCCTGACAGGATCAGGGAAAAGTCTTACCCTTCCAGTCCTCTTCTTGTAGCTGCTTTTATTAAACAGGCATCTTTCCTGTCAATGTGAATAAAGGGAGGAGAGAGCAGTTCATTATCCAGTATATCACTTTGAGTCTAATACTAATTAAAAGCTTTGCCTTCACTTCTGTGCAACCTATTCTTAGAAATTATGTAAATTAATTGGAGTTTTGAAGAGCAGCATATGCCAAATCCTAAGTAATTCCCTGCTGGCTGAGGCAACTGCAACACTGGAACTGGAGAACAGCATCAGGATCTTTTCTTTTTTTTCCTTTTGTGAGTGCAAAATTCTAAGGCTGCTTCGGTAAATTTTGATGCTTCTCTTTAGCAAATACAGGAGAGGGATCAAATATCCAGACCCTGACCATTTGCCAGAGAGGTGCAATACAAAGGCTTTTTCTCCCTCAAAGCTTTTCCATCTCAAAAATGACATTTAACACAGACAAGCTTTTTTTTTCCCTTCTGCAGCCCTTCTCCAAACAAATGTGCGTTGCTGCTTCAAAGAGGATTTTGACGCTTGGAAGCGAAATGTACCTGAGATCCCATCAACCCCCCTTGCAAGTTCATTCTTGCTGTTAATTTAATGGGGAGGATATTTACATGCTACACTGAGTAAGAAGGGAAATTTGATCCTAAGGTACACAGTGTGTGGAGAAAAGGGGATATGCTTTTGAAGTAAAACAGCTTTAAATGTTACTAGCTGTTGGTTTGGGTTTTTTTGCCTTGTTGCCTAATCATTTTTTTCCCTTTGAAAAAGGCCAAAAAAAACAGAAGGAGAAGAACCAAAGGAAACAAATTCAAATAAAAATGAGAAGCACTATGGTTTGGTCTCAGTGTAGTTTAGTCCCAATCAACAAATCATCTAAAGTTGATGAAACTACTTGCGTGTTTAAAGACAAACATGATTAAGTACTTTCATGGATCTTGGCTTATTATGTATTGAAGCTGGATATGAGCATGGATTAAATCCTGGAACCTTTGGTGGGAAGATGCTGCAGTGTGAGCCTACTTCCAGATGTACATTTTCCAAAGTCACCTTTTCTTTACAGCTTCACCCTAAGGATTAAGAGGTGCTGGGTGTGGGTCCCCATGCAGGAGGAGGCAGCCCTCCAGTCCAGGTGCTTTGTGCCTTTGGAGATTTGAAGTTCAGTGCTGGCGAGGTCTGATTTTTGCAGCCATCATCTTTTCTCAGCTGCAGCCTAGTCAATAGTAAAGAAGGCAATTTTGATAACCTGTCAGTTCCATCCCTGGTACTATGCAGCCCCTCTGCACAAGGAGCCAGTTTCTCTTCCCGTGGTTCAGACTTTGATTTAATGAAACATTCTCTTTGTAAAGCTGCCAGAAGTTGGGTCTCCTGTCTCTCTGGGGCTTTAGTGATATGGAAGTAAGTGCCAGCAAGTACAAGTATGGCTGATGGTTATGCTGTTCCAAACTCTTGAATGTCTACTCCATCTTCAGCCACTAGTTCACTGGTCTTTGGGCCATTAGTGCTAAATATTCCTCAGTTTCCCCATCAGTATATCATTCTGCTGTGAGAAATAAGTCTACTGTGATTATTATTTTTTTTTTGACTGCTTTTAGTTCTCACAGAAAAGGCTCTGTAACACTGCAGGTTGGTAACATGTAAAGAACCATTCTTTTAGCTGAGGTTGGAGCTTGTAAATATCCTTATCTCTAGTGGCCGCAGGAATGGAAGATCCCTGAATAGAAGTTGTTAAGTCTACAAGTGAAGACAGTTCTTGGGAAAACAAAGTACAGTGACATACAACTTTGGATCAATAAAAATTATTTTAGAACAAGAATACAACATAGAGCAATGAATGTAGATGGGAATGACTTTGGTAACCACTTACTAGATGGCAAGTTTTCTGCATGTATTTTGGAGTCATCTGTATGTATGTGTTAATTATAACTTCATCTTTTTTTATGCTCATATTGGCTAATGCACAGATGGTTTAGAACTACTGAAGGGCAGTTTTATTGAACGAACACAAAATATGGTCATTACTCTGGAATTAGGAGACCAACTTGTACACCTTTTTGACAGAGGTCATGAGAAATGTCCTGATTTGATAGATGTTAAACACTAAACTGGTGGCGAAACAGGGAGTTGGATCTGGGTTGCTTCTGAGTTTTGGGCCTGCATCCTGCTGCCAACTCCAAAGCTGCTGTCTGCAAACTGTGTGCAGACAGGTTTAATCCTGGGTAAAAGTGTTCTGGTGGGCATGTACTTGAACACAGTTGCATGTTTTTCCACCAGCATCTTCTCTTATTGCACACATTTTGGGTCCAAGTTCATTGTCTGGGCCTTAATCCACCTTTACCCTCCTGTCTGGAGAAAAAGATTTTCCCATCTTGCAACCACATGGAAACCAGCCCAGGTACTTTTTTTGGTGCCCTGCAGAAGCTGGGCATCCACCAAGGTAAATCAGGACCATCCTGAGCTGTTTACACCCATGCTGTATATGGATGCAAGTCCCTGTGGGACTTCAGGTTGAGTCCTAACACCTGTAGACCTCTGGTTGCTCTCAGTAGTGGCTATCAAAGGTGAAGAGGTTCTGCCCAGGGGAGATTATCATGTAGCGTTTTGTCAGACAAGTCCTCTTTTTGTTGAGTGTAATCTCCTCGTTGACTAAGTTTGAGTTAGATGCTGCTGATGAGCTGGATACACATTGTGCTTTAGATATGATGGACTTAGTCCTGCAGATCTGTCCTCTAGGAGCCAGGCTGTCTCCCCTCTTGCTGTGACTGGCATGAAAAGAACACAAGAACAGGAGCACCCAGTTGTAGCTGGGAGCTGATCTACCAATCACCTAAGTAAACCCCCACAAAGCACACAAAACCTACATGGACACATTTAAAACAGATGTTCAAATGGATCATCCCCTCCTTGGTGGATGGTGCTGACACACTGTGCGTTCCTCTTTCCCACCTCCTCCCACAGGACCATGCTGATTTGCGAAACCACTTCTTCACTGTGGGGATGAAGCTGGAGGCAGTGAATATGAAGGAGCCTTTTCATATCTGTCCTGCATCAGTGACCAAGGTGAGCTCTGTGAAAGGAGGGCTGAAAAAGAGCCTGATTAGAAGCTTCTTACTGATTTCCAAGAAATTTAAGAAAACTCAAGAGTGTTATTTCATTGGCTGGAGAACACATTAAGAAATATATTTAAAATCCATGGATATTCCTAATTAATGGGTTGTTTCTCTCCAACAAGCATCACCAGGTGATGCACAACTATATATGCACTTAGATTTGCTGAGGATGAGCATGTCTGTCTACCACTTCAATGGAGAAAAAGGGGAGTCCTCTTTTTTCTGTCTCCCTTCCATGAATGTGTGTTTTCCCTGCACATCTGGGAAACTTCTGAAATAAAACATCTGTGTAGATATTTAATCCACAGTTTAACATGCAAGAGAGAGAGGAAGGCTATGGGTTCTCTAGGATCCCCTTCAACTATGGGCACACCAAATGACCCTGAACCTTTGCTTCAGTTTACCCGTCTCTAAAACTCAGGCTTTGGTCTCTTTATTAGAAACACTTTGATGAAAAGTATTAGGTGAGAGCAGATTATTTGCAGGAGTAGTTCAATTCCAGGGTCTGGCTGTTTCAGCTTTCCACCTTTCCTAATGTTACAGTAAATTTCACTTCTGATTTTGTTTTCTTCTTTTTCACCCCTTAGGTTTTTAGCAATCATTATTTACAAGTGACCATTGATGACCTGAGACCTGAACCCAGCCAAATCTCAATGCTTTGCCATGCGGATTCCTTAGGGATCTTGCCAATACAGTGGTGCCTTAAAAACGGAGTCAATCTCACACCTCCCAAGGGTTTGTATTCCTTCTTGGTGATTTGCAAGTTTCCTCCAAATGAAGTTTGCCTCTTCTTATTGCCTTTAAAACCATGATGTTGTTTGCTGCAGAGCATCACCCTAAGTATCTCAAGCCATAGGAGCACTCTTGAGTCACTGGGGCTGTTCTGGCTCGTACCACCTTGTGACCATCTCTACAAATACATCTCACTGGTGGATTGATGTCCCTGTGCTTTGTGGCCTGCAGCAGCCTTCATCAAAGCCTGGTGAATTCCTACAAAATGCATCTTAGTGATGCTTTGTGTAAAGAGCAAATGGAGCATTAAAAGTCATATATAATACGAGAGGCAAAGCAGGCATCTCCCTAAAGCATCCAACTTGGTACAGTGCCAGGGCAGAGCCAAGCTCCTAAATCTAAATGTCTAAACTAAAGGCTGGCTGCCCAGGAGCATGCGGGCACTTCCTTAGCTGTCTCAGACAATCCCAGGCTGGGGCAAATTGTGAGCAGTGTTCAGGTCAGAGCCAGGAGAAACAGCCTCCAGCCGTGCTATTTCCCAACTTGGTAGCAGTACAGTTAATTACTTGCAATTTCAGACAACCACCTGTGGTGCCCTAGCAATATTTCTTCCTTTGCAAAATGTGTTTGCTCTCTAGAATTTTAGATTTTTGAAGCTGGTTGGGATGTTGACCCTTTGCCAAAAAATTGGTGTTGCTTGGGAGAAAAAGAAATGCCTCAAAAAACCCCACCAAAACCCCACTAAGTTTTGCGCACACAGATTTCTCCTAATTTTGGCAAATGTGCTGCTGCCAAACCCAGGGAAGCAAAGGATTATTTTCTACTTGGTTCAGAGTCCACTTGGGTGTATCCAGAGTGTCTTTTTAGCACATAATAATTTGAAATGCCCATCAAAGTCCTGGCGTCCTGTGTGTGCAACTGTATACACGGGGTGCATCCATGATTACTGTGTTGCCTTTGCTGAAATCAATGTGCAGTCTGGATGCTTTACTCCCTCCTGCTTAAATCTGGGTGTAATCATAGAATCGTAGAAAAGCTAGGGTTGGAAGGAACCCTAAAGATCATGCCTGTGTAAGGATGCACTGACATTGGCCGGAAAAGTTGCTAAAAAGGAAAATAAATTGAATATTGTATTTTTTCCACTCCAAATTCACATACAGCTTCCCCCGGGCCAGCTACTTAGCTGAAGAGCATAGGCCAGACATTTCTCTTTACAAGGTCATGGCCTAATTTCCAATCCCTGCTGGCACAGAGCCTGGCTGAGATAGTGTTTCACGGGTCAAGTGTGTGTGAACTCTCTTTTAGATGCCAATATTTTTAGTAGTGTCTGTAGCATCTGTTATACGGATATTTCTCAGCTTGGCCTGTAAAGTCCAAGGGGCAAGTAGGTATCTCATGGGATGCCTGGTGATGATGGTCCACCCAGGCTCCTGAGAAAGTGTAGCAAGTCTCCCCTGATTCCCCTGGTGAAAATAAACTTGGCTTTCTGCTGTCAGATCAGAAATTCTGGAGGGAGGCTGTTAAAAAAAGGCATAAAGCACGTGGCAGATAGATGCATGCTGCGTGTTGCTGTATTTCTTGGAGTGTGTATGAGGGCTGCATGCCTAAAATGTATCTTAGCACTTCTGATGTCAAAAACCTTTTCCATTGGCAGAGTATTAGGGATCTTGCCAATACAGTGGTGCCTTAAAAACGGAGTCAATCTCACACCTCCCAAGGGTTTGTATTCCTTCTTGGTGATTTGCAAGTTTCCTCCAAATGAAGTTTGCCTCTTCTTATTGCCTTTAAAACCATGATGTTGTTTGCTGCAGAGGATCACCCTAAGTATCTCAAGCCATAGTAGCACTCTTGAGTCACTGGGGCTGTTCTGGCTCGTACCACCTTGTGACCATCTCTACAAATACATCTCACTGGTGGATTGATGTCCCTGTGCTTTGTGGCCTGCAGCAGCCTTCATCAAAGCCTGGTGAATTCCTACAAAATGCATCTTAGTGATGCTTTGTGTAAAGAGCAAATGGAGCATTAAAAGTCATATATAATATGAGAGGCAAAGCAGGCATCTCCCTAAAGCATCCAACTTGGTACAGTGCCAGGGCAGAGCCAAGCTCCTAAATCTAAATGTCCAAACTAAACTCAAGGCTGGCTGCCCAGGAGCATGCGGGCACTTCCTTAGCTGTCTCAGACAATTCCAGGCTGGGGCAAATTGTGAGCAGTGTTCAGGTCAGAGCCAGGAGAAACAGCTTCCAGCCGTGCTATTTCCCAACTTGGTAGCAGTACAGTTAATTACTTGCAATTTCAGACAACCACCTGTGGTGCCCTAGCAATATTTCTTCCTTTGCAAAATGTGTTTGCTCTCTAGAATTTTAGATTTTTGAAGCTGGTTGGGATGTTGACCCTTTGCCAAAAAATTGGTGTTGCTTGGGAGAAAAAGAAATGCCTCAAAAAACCCCACCAAAACCCCACTAAGTTTTGCGCACACAGATTTCTCCTAATTTTGGCAAATGTGCTGCTGCCAAACCCAGGGAAGCAAAGGATTATTTTCTACTTGGTTCAGAGTCCACTTGGGTGTATCCAGAGTGTCTTTTTAGCACATAATAATTTGAAATGCCCATCAAAGTCCTGGCGTCCTGTGTGTGCAACTGTATACACGGGGTGCATCCATGATTACTGTGTTGCCTTTGCTGAAATCAATGTGCAGTCTGGATGCTTTACTCCCTCCTGCTTAAATCTGGGTGTAATCATAGAATCGTAGAAAAGCTAGGGTTGGAAGGAACCCTAAAGATCATGCCTGTGTAAGGATGCACTGACATTGGCCGGAAAAGTTGCTAAAAAGGAAAATAAATTGAATATTGTATTTTTTCCACTCCAAATTCACATACAGCTTCCCCCGGGCCAGCTACTTAGCTGAAGAGCATAGGCCAGACATTTCTCTTTACAAGGTCATGGCCTAATTTCCAATCCCTGCTGGCACAGAGCCTGGCTGAGATAGTGTTTCACGGGTCAAGTGTGTGTGAACTCTCTTTTAGATGCCAATATTTTTAGTAGTGTCTGTAGCATCTGTTATACGGATATTTCTCAGCTTGGCCTGTAAAGTCCAAGGGGCAAGTAGGTATCTCATGGGATGCCTGGTGATGATGGTCCACCCAGGCTCCTGAGAAAGTGTAGCAAGTCTCCCCTGATTCCCCTGGTGAAAATAAACTTGGCTTTCTGCTGTCAGATCAGAAATTCTGGAGGGAGGCTGTTAAAAAAAGGCATAAAGCACGTGGCAGATAGATGCATGCTGCGTGTTGCTGTATTTCTTGGAGTGTGTATGAGGGCTGCATGCCTAAAATGTATCTTAGCACTTCTGATGTCAAAAACCTTTTCCATTGGCAGAGTAAATGCTTTGAGTCACTGAAACATAATCAGACATAGGAATGATTTCCTTAAAAGAAACCAAACAAAACAAAAAACCAACAAACCCGCAAACCACCAAAAAAAAGAAGACGGGGAGAGTGAAAAGCATCCAAACCCCCATAAAGGGAGCTAGTTTTGGGGCAGAATAATAGCAGATTTGGATAAAGAAATAACCAGGATGGATATGAGATAGCTGCAGTGCTCTGAAAGTGAGGAAGGCTGTGGTGTGAGCTGGGTGCTAATGAGGGGGTCTGCAGAAGGAGGAGGAAATTCCACCATTTCCACCTAAATCACTGGACAACTCTACCTGTCCTGCCATGTGCAGAATTACAGAATTGTATAGAATTACAGAATGGTTTGGGCTGGAAAGACCTTAAAAATAATCGAGTTCCAACCCCCCTGCATGGGCAGGGATACCTCTCACTAGACCACCTTGCTCCAAGTCCCATCCAACCTGGCCTTAAATACTTCTAGGGATGGGGCTTCCACAAGTTCCCTGGGCACCCTGGGCCAGCATCTCACCACCCTTACAGTGAAAATAAGATGTTTCTCTCTTAAAAGTTTCTACAAAGATTGAAAAGATGCTTTTGTGTTTAGCCATCACATACAAGTTCAGGGTAACTGGAAGTATTTTTTCAGTACTTTAAGGGCCCTACCACTCTTCCACTTTTTCTATACATTGCCTCTTCTTGCATGGGGATTAGACCAGCCTCCTGCTTCCCCAGTGCTTATGGGTTCCTGACTGACATCACCCTCAACAGAGAACACATTGACAGTCTTTAGTGTTGCCCAAATGACTCTCCCTCTTGAAAGGCAAGAAGTTCCCATGGAGCAAAAGATAACAGAGGAAGAATTCAGTTTTCTTTCTTGTGCAGGCAATTTCTTTGCTGTATTGCATTTCTTTGCTTGGGTTTTCTAGTTAATTTGTTGTTGACAAGGTTGTCCTCTGATTTTAAAGTGAACCAATTTTATTTAATCAGAGCAATATGTGAGGTTGGGTTGTTTGGGTTCAGAGTCCTTTACTTCTCTGATAGCCATTCTCTTACCTTTTTTGCCTGCCAGGCCTTTGTTGAAGCCAAACATGCAGTAGATGAGTCATGAACAGGAGGTGCAAACATTTGCTACTAGAAATAGACAGCAGTATTTTCTTGTACAGTGCCAAAAATGGCTACCCATTTACTGCTTCTGTATAAACATTGAACAAGCACTGTTTATATTTATTAGAGCTGGGTTTATAGACTACTTCCCTTTAGAGTAACAACCATTGTTCCTTTTTTTTATGAGCTATTAAGAGAGGAACAAACCATTTTGGTAGCGCTTCTAGTTGGAAGGCTTTCTAAGGAGATGCCTCTTCCAAAACCTCTCATACATTTGTATTGTTGTATTTGCTTCTGCTTAAACTGTTGGGTTCTTCCATGCTGAGAGTCAAGGTAGAAAACACAGAGAGTTTTTACATGTTTGGGCAGCAGCAGGAGAATCAGGCAAGCAAAGCTTTGAACATTAGTACTGGGGCTGAGCCTTAAAGGATAACAGTGTGTGAATGCCATGTGCTAGTGGAGGTACTGGATACATGGTACCTCTCCATGTGCTAAAGGAGGTGGCTTCCATCTTGGTGCTCCATGAAAAGGTCATACACAGGTCCAGGTTTGTTTAAACCTGATTTCTGAGCATGGTCCCCTTGGAGTCATCCTCATTGGGATAGCTGAAGTGAGTTATGGCAAACTCTTCAGCTGCCTTCCCAGGTTTTGCACCTGTTCAAGTGCACAGCAGGTCTTCCAATGATGTCAGTAGTGGCCAGGCCACAGGTGGTTGCACTGTGAGAACACAGTCGAGGTTTGATACCTCACTGAAACCTTGTCAGTGTCTCTTTGCTGCCCACTCTGCCAAGGTTTTGTCTAGCTTGCAATTAAGATTCAAAAGTTGTCCATGAGGGGTTGAAATTGGACGTGAGAGAAGATGCAGCGTGTGGGCAGGTTTTTGAGCCCCTGAAGGCAACATGCTGATGGGCTTAGCTGGGGTGGACCCCAGGTGATTTAATGTGGACAACTTTGTGGTCGTGTTCCCCACCTGAGCTCATCTCCCTAACTTCTCTGGAGTCAATGGAGAGTGATAGGGACTTTCACAGGGCAATTCTGCTCCTTCTGCAGGACAGATATCACCTCTGGGTTTGCCTGTCCATTGACTCCTTACGTAGCCCAGGGTGACAGGCTCAGCTATAGGCATCTCCACTGCAAACATCTGTGTGCAATCAGATGAATCCCCTTCTGATGTGGTGATGTGCATTTCTCTTCCTGTTTTCCATTTCATTTTATGAGGCTGAAAAGTGTCTGGTGAGCAAATAACTGGAGAGAAAAAAGGAGGTGGAGAAGAAATGGGAAGAAAAGACTGTTGCAGAAATTTGCTGTAAAAAAAACAGTGCAAGGATTTAATTTTTTCATATGAAAAACGGACATTCTTTTTAAAGTAACTGCCATTTTTTACTTCCCTGTGACTTTTTATTTCTAGATTTCCAATTATTATGCACTTCCTTCCTCCACAGAGACAGTCATGTTAGGTCAAGGATTTATCTCATTGGTTTGTTTGTCCTGTGTGCAAAAAATTAGGATTAGAAGTTCATCTGATCCCAGATACTTGCATCTTAGCAGAGTGCTTGGGACTTTATTTCCAAAATTTGTACCTTATTTTTTGGATCTGAGTGACTAATAAGAGACTCCACTCAGTATTCCAGTCCTTTTTCGCCTACAAAACTTTGTCAAAAATTATTCATTCCCATCTGATCTTGAGTGTCCCTTTTTGGCAGTCAATGAAAAAGGCATTCCAGGATGTTCTGTGAAATTAGGTCAGACAGGGAGCTTGAGGTGAGAATTTGGTCTTCAGGTGACTCAAGAAACTTTCCAGTAGGACTAGTTCTGCAATAATATTAGTAGAGTATCAACAGTATTGTCACAAGACCCTGGACAGGATTAGCAATCATTGGCTTTGAGGGCTGTAAAAGGCTTAAAAGAGTAAGAGGCAGGCAAAAAGAAGAAAAAAACTAACAAAAAAAACCCCCAACCCTCTCTTTCCTAAAAATGTATTGCTTAAATAGCCAGATAAGAAGAACAGATGAGCAGAGATCTGTTTTGTTTCTATGATGGGACTGTTTGAGGGATCATAGAATCATAGAATGGTTTGGGTTGGAAGGGACCTTAAAGATCATCTAGATCCAACCCCCCCTGCCATGGGGACACCACTGTTGCTTCCCTTTTTCCCTTTTTTTACTAGAAGCAGAGGCTGGAGGGATCATCTAGTTGCTGAATCCTAAATCTGGGAAATCTGTGTTCATTTTCCTTCTCTGCTCTGGATTTGTGTACAGCCTGGGATAACGTGCCTACTGTGATGGGATTCAGCTCATGTACACTGAGCTGGTGGAAAGTCAGTCACAGAGGGTACAGCCATGTCAATAAAGAGAGAGGAGAATTTATCTCCTGCTTCAAAAGGGAGGATGGATCAGCTTCTGATTATGGTGGTTCTCTCTCTGTCCACTGCTGAGGGACCTTTCATGTCCAGCTCCACAATCCCATCTTTTTTAGATAGCTAAAGGAAGGAGAAAGAAGTCCATGAGTAGCCCAACATGGAAACTTGGGACAGTAGCAATTCTTAGTAGCTATGGAAAATAAATGTGTTTTATGACTTTTTAATGAAAACCTGGGGCTTTCAAAGTGAAATGTAGTTGCGTGAGTCAGGGCTGTAGAAGCATTGGCGTTGCCTCTCCTGGTGTATAAACAGGCATCCAGAGAACTTGCCTGCTGATACCACCACAGTTCACTGAGGTGGGATGGGATGCAGAAACACAAATGGTCATCTGCTTGGGGCCAGTTTCATGCTGGCACTCTGGTGTGAAGTGGTGCCTGATGGCACTTTGTTTTATCATCTTGCAGGTTACTCTGGCCAGGACTTTGACTGGGCAGACTACCAGAAGCAGTGTGGAGCTGAGGCAGCATCTCACCTCTGCTTTAGAAACGTAAGTTCTCTTTTTGCCTTTGCCTCTTTTTCACTTCATCCAAGTGAAACACAACAGTATGTACAGAAAAGCTGCAGAAAGGCTTTGGGAGGTTGCCCCTGGCCACCATGTGTCTATCTGAGGAAGGAAACCAGAGAAGTGTTTCAGGTCTTCATCCCTAAAAGAGAAAAAATGTTCTGTTACTCTTGTCTGTATCTGATTCATCTGGATTTCCTGCTTTTCATCTCCTCTCTCTGATTTTGTACAGCATCTAGGAAAAGAAGAATCTTAACTGATGTTGTAATTAATTCAATTGCTACTACAGAAAATAAACTAGGTAAAAGCATTGCATTTTATCACGTGTCTTGTTTCACATTTTGGGTGTTGTTTCTGGTTCCCAGGGAGATACACTTAACCAAACCAAATGTGTTTAAAAGCTAAGGTTGAAACTGTTCAGCTCCAAGTGTGAGAAGAGTGATTAACCCATGTGGGTGCTCTGGTCTTTGGGCCAGCTCATGGCATTCCTTGCTACAGCAACAGGGATTAAGAGTGAGCAGCACATCATTTTGCTAAAGGCCATCAAGATTCAGAGCTTTGGAAATAATGTTTGCAGGCTGTTTTCCAGCAATTACAGTCCAACATGGCTTGATCTGACAGGTATTCATCACTTGGTGAAAGGCAGATGTAGCCTTCTGCTTTTTCCAGTAACCTGCTGGTTTTCTTCATGCTCCCATCAAGGGATGAAAGTTGAGATCCCATCAATAACTGGAAATGAGCACAGAAGAGTTTGCAGTGCTAGAAACAGGACAAGCAGGTTCCTTTGGGAGTTACAGGGACTTACCCTCTACTCAGTAGTAACAAGACTGGGGAACAGTGTGTTTATGAAAAGCAGAATGGAGACAGTCTCACAAGACACCAGTCATGCTTGTTTCTGCATGGCCTCCTTCATCTTCTCTATGAGGATGATGAGACACTGGAACAGGTTGCCCAGGGAAGTTGTGGCTGCCCCATCCCTGGAAGTGTTCAAGGCCAAGTTGGATGGTCTAGTGGGATGTGTCCCTGCCCATGCAGGGGGGTTGGGACTAGGTGATCTTGAAGGTCCCTTCCAAACCATTCTGTGTTTCTGTGGGCATCCTAGCTTGGAATAGACTGTTGGTCGTGAATTGGTGAATTTGAACACTTTTTGTTGATGAATTAAGAAGACCTGTATCATCAACAGACAAATCAAAGCTGGGATTTCTTTGCCTCATTTTTGAGGCCATTGTATGCAAAACCCTCTGCTTCAAGGGACTTCAAGTAAAGATTTCTGAAAGTGCTGCAGAAAGCTAGACAATGCTGTATCAAGTGGGACAGTTTCTTCTATTCTGCAAGCACCCCTCCCTTTTCTTTATGTCTCTTTTCTCAAGTAATGGATCTGTGCTCTCAGCACTGGCAGCCTAGAGAGCAGTCTCTGCTTAATATCCTCCAAAGATTAAATCAGGTTTAAGCACTTTTCTCCCCCCTTTTTTAAAGGAAACGTTCATTAGATGAACACGTGTCTGTTACTCTTTATCTCTTGATAACTCAATTCTCTGCAGAGAGATGTAATCTCACTGTTGTCACTGGTGTCACCTCCCCAACAGGTCTGTCTATTTGTTTGCTGCAAGCAGCTCTGATAGAAGCTGTGCTGTGAGCACATCTCCCACCTCGTGCAGCCAGACGTGGTGCTGGAAGTGGATGTGCTGGAACTGTGTTCCCTGAGGGGGATATTTAACAAGGAGAGGCAGTTATGAAATGGATTGACATGACCAAATGCTTAGTAAAATAAACTCCCAGCTAACTGTTTTGCCATTGATTCTGTGTAAATTAGCCTCCAGCACCGAACTGCAGTGAAAGGAGCTGGTGTGATGATAAATGACGTTTCCTTGTTAAGCAACATAAAAGGCATTTAAACAAACTCACCCTGTTTTTCCGCAATCCTGGCTGTTGGCAGCTTTTACAGGGTGAAGCTGATCTATGTGCTGAGCAAGGCTTGTGACAGGCCAAGCAATGTTTGAGACTAACTGCCTGTTCTTCGGAGACCTCTTGATGAAAATAAAAAACAAGTCCAGAAGTTTTTTACAACGAGCTCCCAGTGTCTGGTTAAAGGTGAAGTGCCCGTGGTTCTAGGTGCTGTACAAACAGCAGCAGGGCTGAATTTGAGTCTGACTTCCAGTTGCTCACATGGGATTGCTGGATCAGAGATTGGTGTCATTTTAAGTCAGTGGCAGTTACTACCCATCCTAATTGTTGTTAGCCAAAATATCAACCAAGAGGGGGAACCTTTTTGTGCTACTGTGTGCAAACAGAAATGCAAGCACTAACAGCTGAGGTGGTACAGAGCAGGTAGGACATAGGGAAGGAAGACGAAAGGAAGGGAAGCCCTGGCATGGCCATGGATATTGCATCCATGAATTCTAGGGATAGTGGTGGTGGGGATATTGGGAAAAAGCTGAGCATAAGGGACAGGAGAAGACACCAGTAAGAACAGAGGATAAGGATGAAAGTGTGTGAGGAGTAGCTTGAGGCTTGGCTTGTGGAGAAGGTTTTGGGGAGGATTGGTAGGGTCTTGGGGTTACTTTGCACTTGAGGTCACCTGCACCAGCTGCAAACAGGAGCTCTGGATTGTTCCGTTAGGATTGAGCCATCCTGGCTCTGGCAGGAGCATGAGGGACTGGTCAGCAGCCTGTTGCTGTCACATGGCCAGGCCATCCTTGGGCTGTTTGCCAGTTTGCCAAGGCATGCCTTAGCCTGCAGCAGTGCTACCTGAGTCATTTGAACTGCAGCTTCCTCAGACTCCCCTGTTCTTGGTACAACAGAGAATGCTGTGTGCTCACAAGCTCATGATCTCATGTTTTGGTCCTGTGTTTCTTGGGTGGGATGAGAACCACTCATATAGGGATCATTGCTGTAATACCTGTCCTGACTTTGCCTTCACTGGAGAGGAGTGTAAGGGCAGTGGGGACTTCAGATACCCTGTGAAAAACTTGGTTCTTCAGTGCTGTATCTAAGTGTACAGAGGTACTGCTGTAGCAGTGAACGCAACTGGCTCCATCCCCTGCAGTTGATGAGCTTATATACCTGAAGTCCACAGAGAAGGACCTTGCACATTGAACTTAAAATAATCCCTGAAGAAAGAACATATTGAATGGGTTACTCAAGTTTCTCCAGCCTCAGTCAGCCTGGGCAACTAAATGTCTGGGGAAATTTCTATGGTCTCAGGCAAGATGGGTTATTTGCATTACAAGGTTTCTTCTACAAGGTGAGACATGCTCAAGCACAGCAGATCTGGAAACCTTGTGTGTAATAACCCATCAACAATGGTGGACAGCAAATGCATCACTAAGATGCATTCAGAAACACTTGGAAGTGGTGTGGAGTCACCTCCTGGTCTCTGAGAGTTAGGGGTCAGCATAAGCCATGAAATATGTTGCTTCTTGATTAATTGCCATAATTGTTTGTTTTCATAGGGATGCTCCATTTTCAATCCAGATGCCTTTGTTCTTCACTGTGTCTGGCACTTCCAGTGGAAAGCAAACCATGTTAATTTATGCTTCCCAGTGGACAGCCTAATTAAAGTCATGCAGTGCTGCAGTGCTGTGCTTCAGTGTTGGTCCTTGACTCTTTCAGACATCCTTCAGCCGTGGCTTTACTAAGAACATGAAGCTGGAGGCAGTGAACCCCAGGAACCCTGCAGAGATATGTGTTGCTTCTATCACCTCAGTTAAAGGACGGTTGATGTGGCTTCACCTTGAAGGTATGTGCTGTAAAGGCTCCTGGTGTTTGTGTGGCTCACTCAAACACTGTTAATTTTGTCCTTCATGCTCTGCACAAAACTGCTTTCTCCAGCCTTTCCTTTTTATACATGTTGACTAATAATAGGTAACAAAAAGTTATCTTTCCCTGCTCTCTCCCTGAGGGAGCCACAAGACCTTCCAGCCTCCCTTCCATGTGGACTCTACCAGCATGATCTCCATAGGTGACAGAAACCTCCTCACTGCCATCATGGTAGACATCCATCCTGGGAGTGGACATTTAGCTCACTTGTGTGGCTGAGACTTCCACCATGATTTCCAGCAGGCTCTCATGACATCTCCTGTCCCTCTGCAACCTCATTCTTTCCTTCCTTTCTTTTCATTTCACTCCTTTTTTCACCTAGGTCTGTAAAACTTCTGCAATATTTGCAGCTTCTCACCATGGCCATCACATGCTCACATTCCCTGTCCCCCTGCAACCTCATTCTTTCCTTCCTTTCTTTTAATTTCACTCCTTTTTTCACCTGGGTCTGTAAAACTACTGCAATATTTGCTGCTTCTCACCATGGCCATCACATGCTCACATTCCTCCTCCCTGTGGTAGTGTCATTTCCTTTGTTGATCTAAGAGAGCTCTTGCAGACAGTATCTCTATAATACAGATTTTACAAAGCCATCTCCCCATGGAGAGCACCACCATTATACAAGTAGTATTAGGAAAGTGCTGAAAAACTAGCAGGGCATAATTCTGTTATCAAAACTTCCATTTCTACCTTTCTTGAGATAAGGTAGAGATTAACTAATTTCTAATGTGATTTTGATCTTGGAACTTTCTCAACTCATCTAGGCAAGAACATCTTTAAGAAAGTGTAATTTAGAACAACACAGGGATTCTTCTTGTTATTGTGTTAAAATCACTGTTATTTGTAAAGTCAGTGAGAGCAGAAAACCATGCTCAGTTCAGTGTTTTGATGGGCACTCCTGTAAATCATTAAGTTGTTGTGTCATGCATCATTGTCACAACACAGCTCAATTTTTGCCCATCAAGGTAACACACAGTTGTTTGAAGCTACTGGCTTCATCTGTAACAAATACAAAAGCTTTAGTTTCCTTCTGAAATCAATAGTAATTGGATCAGCATCAACTACAAATGTAATATGCTTCTTTGCTTTCTTCTGGAGGACCATGAAAATACCAAAGGCACTTCTGGTGTCTCGTAGTCCTGTTTGACACAGACCTCTGTAAGATTTGTGCTTCCTGATGAATGCATAATGTAGACGTGCTGTCCCTTGTGCTGCCAGCCCTGACACAGTAAAAAAA